TTTACAAATTTATTAAATATTTCATAATACAGAATTTTGTTTTGTATTTACAACTTTTAATCAAGTTTTATTTTTAAAGTAATAAATTATCCTCATGTGAGGTACAATGGGAAGATTTTAAATTGTTATAAAGTATAAACATATTTTATGTATATGATTAAGTCTTTTTTTGTCAACATGTATATGATTAAGTCTTTTCTGAATATTTTAAATTAAATTATGAATAATTAAAAATACGTGTTCATAATTTTTAATATCCAGATGTATAACCAAACATAATATGGACGATTGATTTAGGTTAAGTTTTCAGGTTCATAATCATTTGAAAACACTGACACGTGTCCAAAATGAGAGGTTTGTGTGTTGTTTCTTTTTTTTCTTCTTTGACCAGTCAGACACTGACACCTGTCCGTCTCTTAGTGCTAATATTTTCTCTTAGCTAAAAGACGTTTCTTACAAATTACACACATTAAACATTTAATTTTAATTTGTTCAATACTTAAGAACCACCTAAGAGGTTGCCATTAATCATGGTCTTACGTATGTTTCTTAATCTTTATGGTTTTAATTTGATTCGATAATATCACGAAGTGAAAAGAAACAAAATGTAAAAATAATAATACTTGACCTCACAATTAGTTGAGTTTTACCAATAAACTAGAGTTTAGTTTGGTATTGGCTACTACTTTCCCAACAAGTTGACGAATTTGGCCCATTTAACTGTGTCTCTGTGTGAGTGTAGTCTTTTATTAAATACTTAATAAGTCCCTCACTTTACATAATCGTCACAAAGCTGACGGCATATTTTCTCCAAAACGAAACGTTAAGATATTCATAATCACGTTGCCTCTTGCCTTCTTAATAGTGCTTAGTGCTTTAGTATAGTAGCCGTTTTATATAGCACACTAGATAGATACTTAATATGCTTAGTGTAACGTAGTAGCCGTATTATATGGTATGAATTTTATAACGACTGCCGTACGATAAATCGATAATAATAATAATGATTACATGACATTATGTTATACACTACTATATGACTTGTGTATCATATTTAAATATCGACGTAAATAAAATATGACTACACAGAAAGTTTTGTTCAACCCATAACATATTGGAAGTCTAGACATAGACTGTTTATAATCATGCGAAAACGATTAACCGATTATTAAGGAATAATAAATTTATGTGTATGATTGTAATTACACATACGATTCTTAGATTCAAGAACTTGCAGCTAAAAATAATAGTTAAAGGTAACCATATATATATATATATATATATGATGTAAAGAAAAGTGTCTCTGTTATTTCGTTGGAAATTTCAAGATTTGTCCTATGAAGTACCAAGTACGTATTATATTGATACTGTACTTTTCTTAACCCTTTGGCTAAAGATAATGATTCTTTAAATGAAACGTAATGATAAAACTAAAGAAAGATTACTTACCACTAGTGTCTTCATAATTGACAAGTATATGATTTGCGTAGTATATATTAAGTGGACACAAATTAATTGACGGGGTAGGTGCATGACTTTTGAATGAAGGAGACGACCGAAGAGGAAACTAACGAGAAATTTCAAAGAAAACGATAATCTGATTCTAACGTTGTGATATGTATAATAGGAACTACATCATCCTTCTCCTTTTTAGTTACAAGTTGTGACACTTGTTTTAAACGGTATCATTATATTGTTATAGTGAACTATATGATATAAGATTCTTCTTCTAGATAATTTACTCAAGAACCAAAGCAAAAAATATTCCCAATGCGAGAAGTTAATATGGAAAAAACATAATATTCTCAATATGACTTCGAAAACTCAACATTTGACGAGCATTCTTACAAGTTCCATGGATATGTTTTAAACTCATATTCCGCGATTCCGAAAATCTCACATCTTGTCTTTGGTCATATGACTAATAGACTAATAGTAAACACATCTTCTAATATTGTCTCTGTTCAGTTCACATTAGTAAACACAAAAGAGCTAAGATGATTTTAATCTTCACAAGTATATATGGAAACAATTATAACTTAGCGGACTGATGTAAAATTTTCCTATAAGGTAGACGACTTGGCTTCAAACAAAACCTTAGTAGGCGGACGTATCGGTCATCCAACACAGTAACACAGTCTGTAAGCAATGGACACGTAACATTTCCTCGTAGTCTCAATGAAGGTGCCTTTCTCTCCAAGAAACCGACTTTTCTTGGCTCAGTTTTGTTTCTAGTGTTCATCGACTTCAAACTGCACTCAGGTGAATGGTTGTTCCAAAATCTAAGTTTGGCCGTGTGATTTGGAATATTTAGCTTTTAATTGAGATTAATAATTGTTTTGATTGGGGGATTATAAGGTTCAACAATGTTAAAAACAACAGGTTTGAGTTTTACAGGTCGCTTTGGGCTCAAGATATATCTTATCACTTCGTTTGTAAAATTTAAGAGAACTTAATCAAAAGAATTAACAAGAGTGTACGAGTAGAGAATATCCTCGTAACACTGTTTTCTTCCCCTCTTAAATCGAACAGTCAATGATCATACAAACAATATTAACAGAATTGAATCTCTCTGGGATTATAAGCAAAACAATAACATCCTATCTAACACTTGAGAAGATAAAACAGAGCTTTTGACTCATTCATGCCCTGTTCCGAACCTGATCGTGTTCTAGTGCTTGTTGTTGGCTTTTGTTCTCCGCTGTTTGAATCTTTCACCCACAGTCTGACTCTACGAGTGTCTAGACGCGTCCTCATGCAACTGTGTAGTCCTCACATTAGGATCATCCTGCACAATAGTGAGCATGAACAAAAGATGACGAAATGATACAAACACGAAATAAAATAGAGAAATCTTTTATTACAACTGGAATATTTACCCGGATATCGTAAGGAAAGTTGGGAGGCCTGAAGAAATCTACTCCCTGGAAAGAACATTAATTGACTTTTTAACTTCTTTGACAGTCTTGTTAAAAGATTGACAATGCTAATTAAAACATTGAGATAGGTAGGTGTACCTGTCCATGGATGCCTTGCTGAGCACCGTAATAACTGTCGTAGGTTGGTGCTATCGAGTTCAACTGTCGCTACAGAAAACCAGCCGGGATTTTTTTATCCAAAGTTAATGAAAGAAAAACAGCAGAAGCTACGTTTACACACATGTCATGGTCGATTTCATACCAATCCTTGAATTGTTTGTTGGTGATTCCCATAGAAATTATCGCGAGTTGGTGCCATTAAGTTCAGCTGGACCTGTAAAAACACATATCCGAACATACTGCATACATAAATCTCAAATCTATAAAAAAAATAACATGCAATTATGTTGTGTGCTTAATTACCATTCCTTGTACGCTCTGCTGTGTTCCATAATAGCTTTCTATGCCGACTGTCCTTGGGCTCAGCTTATCCTGCGATTACAAAATTCAGATATTATATACTAAGGCGACTTGAGTTTCAAAGAGCCTTGCTATGACATATCAACAAAGACATACCATCTGCTGCAAGCTTTCTGGCGGTGCAACTGGCATAACCTCCGGCTCTGGGTTCACCTGAAGTTAGTATTTGAGATCATCAGACTTGCAAAGCATAAAAATGCATAGCCAACAAAGTCCTTAGGCTGTCTGTATAGAGAGATGATAAACGAGAAATTACTTTTCTTTTCTTAGTTGGATTCTTTTTCTTGCTCGTCTTGCCTGCATTTCTGCTCTGGTTTTCCTCCTCGACAGAAATCAGACCTTGAGTTGGGGACGTGACCACATCTGGAAGACTTTTGCCAGAAGTATTAATACCAGCACAGTTTCCTAAAGCTCCTTCAATAGCAACAAATGCAATATTGTAACTCTCTTGAGAGACGGATGCCTCTTCATTCAGCTTTAAGGCTCGTTGACACAAATCATTATACCGCAGCAGCCTAGTCTGCAACTGCTGAGGTTCTCCTGAAAAATGCGGGCTTTTTGCATCTTTTGTCCACCGATTTAATATGTACTGCCGGGGGATGGACGAAAGATGACAACACTGAAGAACATTAAGAGTGTGTCTGCAGAGATAGCCTTTATACTCAAATAACCGACAGATGCAGGAGACTTCATCCTTTGTTTGGTTCCATGTTACCACGAAGTCCTGATTGGTTTCAAAATCCTGAACTCTAAAAGTAGAGCCTGTGGCATCTCGGGACTCCTCCCTGGGACTACATGCAATTGCACCTAAAACTTCAATTTGGAACTTTTTGAATACTGCAGGAGTATAGACTTCAGAAACACTTTTTTCAAATGGAGATGGAGACTTCAATGTTGGCTGTTTGTTCCACATTTCAGAATCAGCTTTGGCTTCTTCTTCACATCTATCTTGCAAAATTGTTTCATATAGTTTCAAAAATTCTGGTACACTAGTCTTCTTATGCATGTACTTGTCAAAGAAAGCATTAATACTCTCAGCTCTTTGAGATGTAGACATCCCTGCCAAAAGAACATCAGTCATGTAGGTCGGTGCCCATTTCTTACGGTCTTCATATAAAGAATGCATCCACTGATCATCTTTGAGGCCGAACCTAGCAAGATTCTTCCACCATCTTCTCGCAAAGTCTTCCTCTTTACATGATTTATAGATGCATTTCTCAAACTTAGGCATAAAATTATCATGTTGCTTAATAACTTGACCAAGATTCTCAGAAACCTTCATAAATACATGCCAAAGAAACAGGCAATGTCGTGTATTGGGGAAGATTTCGGGAACAATGGAGTTCATTACAATGTCTAGCTCAGTGATCA